ACTTGAAGTCAACATGTGTCCACGGGTGGTCTTTTAGTTCCCAACAATAAAATAACTTTCTGAGGCCACATGTCCACCGCCGGTCACAAGAAAAATATCAAACAAACGAAGTTTTCAATCAAACAATGACATTGAATTACCTAGAGGAAAACACCCAAAAAAAACGAAATGGCTACTCAAAAGTGATGGTAGAACAGACTTTGGCTAAAAGACAGCAGCAGCCCCGAAAGGAAGAGAAGCAGTCACAACTAGTGCTTGCACTTCCCTACATCAGAGGATTATCTGAAAACATAGGAAGAATTGGATCCAAGTACAACATCAGAACCTGCTTCAGATCCGGAAACATTATCCGTAGCAGCCTCACGAAAACCAGGCCACCAAACGCGAACTGCGATTCCAATAATTGCATTTACCGGATACCCTGTGAGTGCGGAAAATCCTATATCGGTGAAACTAAGAGGTCATTGAATGTTCGCATTGCCGATCACAAGAAACACAAACATCGAGGGGAACCAGCAAATCAGGAATAGCAGAGCATGCTTGGACCCATCAACATAACATCGAACGGTCCCAAGCTGAGATCTCACACAAAAAGGAACATTGGTGTAGGAGGAAATTCAAAGAAGCCGCATCCAACAATGTATTCAGCCAAGCTAGCCTAGAGATACACAACATATGGAAACCCATAATCAAGCGAAAAATGGCCAACTCCGGCCAAACTGTCATTTCCCACTAAACCAGTGAAGCGGAAAAAGGAAAGCAGAGATAGGTGAAAGTACTCAAATGACCTAAAAATAGTCAGCTCACGGAGGAATCAGTCCAGTCATCACCTGAAGATGATTGTGGATACTAACAATCGAAACGTCGTGAAGTAACTTGGCTTCGTATCTCTTAACTTTTCAATTTTATTTTTTGTTCAATTCGTTCCATTTTTACTTGTATTTCATTTCACTTTTATTTCATTTTAGGTTTTTTTTGCTTAATAAAATTGTTTTTTAAGCTATTCATTTTTATTCTTGTTCTTTGATTTTTAATTCTTCTTTTTTAGTTCCTTCAGGGATATCAAATCATTTCATATAACACTCAAAAGAAAAGTTCCAGAGTCGAAATTTGCTGTTATCCACCGGTAGATATCGGCGCTAAACGTGTTTATGTTTATTGATTTAAACTAAACGAGAGCGATTTTACATAATATACACAAAATAACATACAAATATTTACCATCGCGCAATAAGGTTTGGTAATGAATTTAAAAAAGTAAGCAACATTTTTATGTTTACGTTCGTTTGTAAATAAGGAAACTGTAGTAAAATTAGATAAGGAGTAAACAATTTTTGTCAACTAAAATATCCAAACTGTACTAAAGTTGAAGAAGACGTTAAATTTTATAGTCAAAGACTAATAAAAATAAAAGTTTACAAGAACAGAATTGAAACTTATGGCTTTGACGGAATTTCTAGATATAAAATCAAAATTTTCCACAAAGAATTCCCATTTCACAATATATTTTGGTTTTCTTCTTCTCCATTTTCATACAAAAAAATACCTCATTCGATTTAAACAATATCAAACTTTTGCTACTGACCAAATTGCAGCCGACTCAATTTTTTATTATACCTAACACCTCTATATTTTATCCGGAAAAACAACTCAAAAAATTTTCAAATCCAAATAGTAATTGAGTTACATTCGATTTTATTAAAAGTTCAAATATCATTTTTTCGGCAACCGCCCGAGAAGTACGAAGGAGGTCCCCGGCCTGACCTAGAGATGGCAGTAGTTGTTTGAAAAAATATCACTGTATCAGAATGTACACATTCTATAAAGCATATGTTTCAAGTTTGAAGACGCTGCGTTGTTTATTATTTGTTTGGCAGCCATCAATAGCGAACGATTTCGGTGAATTTGTGGAAATGGAAAAAATTGGTCGTCGTTATGTGGTACAATACTTTCATTTGAAATTTTTCAGCCTAACCAATATAAAATCTGAACTGAATTATATTCTGGGTAAGTCTGCTCCTTTGTTTACAACAGTAAAATATTGGGTAGCAGAGTTTAAACGAGGCCGTACGAGCTACCAAGACGAGCATCGCAGTGGTTGACCAAGTGAGGTGACAATTTCAGAAACCGTGAAGACAATCCACAAAGAGTTCTGAATGATCGCCGACTGAAAGCTAACAGACTTAGTAGGCATTTCAAAAAGTGCGGTATATGTTATAATATCTGGAAATTTGGGCATTAGAAAGCTGTATGCAAGATGGGTGCCGCGTTTGCTCACACTCGAGCAAAAACAGTGTCGTGAAGATGTTTCCATTGAATGTTTAGCGAAGTTCTACAGCCACAAAGCAATAATTCTTGCGTCCTTTCATAACCACGGATGAAACATGAGTCCATCTTTTAAGAACCGAGACAAAACAACAATGAAAATAGTGGACTCAAAAGGGAAAACAGACTCCAAAGTAGGCGAAGACCGTTTCATCTGTAGGCAATATCGTGGCATCGGTTTTTGGGATAGTCTTCATTAACTATGTTAAAAAAAGGCAGAACTATCAACGCCAACGGCGAGTATTATGCGAACTTATTGCAACGTTTGGTGAAGAAATCAAGAAAAAATGGCCGCAGTTGGCTAAGAAAAAGTGTTGTTTCATTATCGCAATGACCAAAATTAACGAATTAAAATTTGAATTGCTACCTAATGCACCCTATTCGTCAGATTTAGCTACCTCGGATTATTTTGTTCCCAAACTTGAAAAATGGCTCAGTGGTCAAAGATTTTCTAACGATGAAGGATAAATGTCGGCAGTTGAAGGCTATTTTGAGGAACAAGACAGTTCTCAATATAAAAACGGTATCGAACTTATTGAACGTCGTTGGGAAAAGTTTGTAATATCTTCCAATGCACGATGAACGTTTTTCACAGTTGGTGCCTGAGGGAGCAGATGTCTGTCAACCCCAGCAAAACTGTGATAATCCCCTTCACCAGAAGGAGAAAATTGGACGATCTAACGCCACTTTCCCTCAATGGTGAGGTCATTTCATTTGGGACGGAGATGCAATATCTTGGCATTGTCCTTGATGAAAAACTTACCTGGAACGCACACTTGGAAAAAGTATTACAGAAAGCCAGACTGTTGTTATGGACATGTCGAAGGATTTGTGGTAAAACATGAGGTTTAGGTTCCAAACAAATCCATTGGATTTATGTGATGATTGTCAGACCAATGATCACTTATGATGCAATTGCCTGGTGACCAAAGGCTTTACAGAAAACGGCCCAGGCGAAGCTCTGGCTTACAGAGACAGGCTTGTCTGGCCATCTGTGGAGCCATCAGTACCACATCGTCAGCGGCCATGGAGATCATTTTAGATCTACCTCCTCTCCACATTTTTCTGGAGAGAGAGGCTAGATGGATTGCATATAGACTTGTGCACATTGACAATTACACAAATCAATTTAATTCAGAGTGCAACAGACTGTTGGTTGACAATGGAAGTCACAGCATTCTGGAAATGATCTCTGACTTTATGCCTCCAACTGTCAACTACGAATTGCCTTATAAAGAACTATTCCCGAGTAGAGAGGACTGGATCTTCCGGGAGAAGGAGATAGTGGGAGCAGATAGTTGTTGGTGCAGAGAGATTGGAAAGATCCAACCAGTTACACAAGTCAATAAAAATATTCTCGGGCAGTGAAGCGACGTTGGAAGCTCTTGGCTCCTACCAAGCAACGTCTAATCTAAATTGGTAGCAAATTGCCAAAAATGGCTCTCCTCAATAAGCAAACTCAACAGATTGTCTCTGGTATGGATTCCTGGCCATACTGGCCTGGAAGGCAATTAGGCTGCTGACTCCCTTGCGAAGGAGAATGCTGTCATTGGCATCGCTTTAGGCTTTGCCAAACAAAGATTGAGCACCTGGATAGCAAGAAGATTTATGGACTTCTGGCAGAATCTTCCAGGATTGGCTCACTCCAAGGCGTTTATCCACCCTTCGAAGCTTGATACCAAACAGTTGTTGGCTTACAGTAGGGATGAACTACGATGTCTAACAGGCCTTCTTACAGGTCACTGTAATTTGATCTGCCACAATAAACCCTTGCGGGATGCGGTGGAAGGTCACTTTGGACCTAACCTAACCTATTGAACGTCGTTGAGAGAAGTGTATAGAGCTGCAAGGAGATTATGTTGCTAAATAAATATATTTTTTTACAAAATTTGTGTGTTTTCTTTTAGGACCACCCTCGTACGTACTTTCCGGACTAGGCCGGGTGGAATCACATCATTGTGGTCATTGTAAATAAGAAAATTTTGGTGGGTATAGTTTTCATTAATGCAGTTGATTATAACCATAACGACTGGCAGCTGTTCGACATACCATTAGTTGACATTTTGATTTTTGAAAGTTTGCATATAAAGAAATGCGGAATGCGGAAATTTTATTTCCCAACTTTCATGATGATCTATTACATACATCAATTTATTGCATTTAATTTATATCATACACCCGTTGCGACTTCGCACGGATAACACCTCCTCCCCGTCTTAGTATGGATAGTATCATGCCCGATTTATGTATGTGGCGTGTTAATATCATTGAATCATCGAAGTACCAGTGCTTAAATATCATATCAACTTTATATAATACTAGTTGTTGCCTGCGGCTTCGTCCGCGTAGTATTTGGTAGTTGTAGTACTAATTAGTACTATGTTGTTGTATCGCTGCTGTTCCAATGTTTTGACAGAATCAGAATCAACGAACTTAGGCGTACGCAGCGTTATAGAACGGTGCTTTCAAAAAATTGTTCTACAGCGCCATCTAGTGGCGAGTTACAGAAAAAAGTATATCCTAAAAACATGTCAAGTTTCATCACGATCGGTTGAGCGATGTAAAAGTTTATCACTTACCAACCAACCAACAAACATCCATTTTCATATATTAGATTATTCAACACTATCACTATAACATATCGTAAAATAGTTTTTTTGGACTTACCCCCTTGCTTTGAACACCATTTTGAACGGTTTTAGTCGTTTCCTCATCTGAAGATGTCTGAAAAAAATAAACACATTAATGTACTGAAAAATATCAGTACACTGGGTTTCAGATTGATCATCACAAACTGAACACAAAAAGTTAAGAGAGAATCAGATTTGTCTAGGACGTATTCAAAAGAGACACTTTAATGCGAGATTTTCACTCGAAAGATTACAATACCGCGACACATGTTTACAAAAAAAAAAAGGTTTATTGTCTAACAGGAGAAATCCCAATTACAAGACAAATATAAATAACTTTACAGCTATGACTAAGTATGAGTACCATGGAATATAACGAAAAGCATATAAAATCTTCAGAGTAATAGTGTAGTATAGATATTATACAAATAGTGATACATTCATATAATAATAATAATAAAAACATACTGTAGAATTCTGAAAGAATTGGCAGTGTACAGAGAGTTGAAACACAGTATTTCCCTTATGGGTTGTAATTAGATTGTAGTTCGACTTGCATAGAAAATAGCTTGTTACGAATTATATACTTGAAGCTTCCAAATGGAACAACAAAAATATCACATTCTGAATAGACACTATTATAAATTTTACAGATGTTATAAACTGGAGATTTTATTAACACGTTGATCCTAGGCAAAGGCAAATAGAAAAAAATTTCGTTTCTACTACTTCGTCTCGGTACGTGAAAATCTAGTTGAGATAACAAATCAGGGCAGTCAACCAAATTATGAATCAACTTATATATGAAGATACAGGCATAATATGCTCTTCTGTTTTCTAAGGATAAGAGGTCAAATCTAGTCAGCAACACTCTATCAATTCCTTGAGATGGGTAAGCTCCATCTAGTTTGTAAGCCAAGTATTTCATTAACATTCTTTGACAAGATTCCAGTTGTTGTATATGCACATTGTATATAGGTGACCATATTAGGGAGCCATATTCCAGATGAGATCGTACATATGCTTTAAAAAGTGTTATAAAACATTCTTGGTTTCGAAAGTCTACACATCCTGAAGATAAGGCCAAGCATTTTTTTGCAGAAGATGTGATTTGATTGATTTGTGACGTGAAGCTAAGTTTCTTATCGAATATGATGCCCAGATCTTTAGTTTCTGTGCTTTGTTCTATAGTGACATCACTTATTGTATAGTCAAACTGTATATTGTTGTGCTTGAGGGTGTATAAATTGAATATTCCACTGAATATTCAAAAATTACATTTTTGAATATTCAGTGGAGGCTTGTTTAGTATGCACCATTCATGTATCGAATTAACTTCCTTTCGCAGAATAAGACAGTCCTCGGTTGATTCAATGGGTCTGAAAATCTTCAAGTCATCAGCAAAGAGTAATATGTTACGAGATATATTTGAAACAATATTATTTATAAACAAAGAAAATAGAAGAGGAGCTAGATTACTTCCTTGAGGAGCACCACTAGTTGAAGTGAATTCTTTTGATTTGTGTCCTTTGTATTCTACAAATAGCGTACGATTCTGAAGATAAGACTGTAGTAAATTCAACAGTTGACTGTCGAAACCAACAGAAAAAATTTTATTCAGTAGAATTTGATGGTTCAATTTATCAAAGGCCTTTGAGAAGTCTGTATCGATTGTATCCACCTGTAGATGCTTATCTAACGCAGTGCTGACCGTTTGTGTAAAACACATGAGATTAGTTATTGTTGAACGTTTATTAATGAAACCATGGTGATATAAAGTTATACTATTTCTAACTTTACGAAAAATGTTGTTATACAGACACATCTCAAAGACCTTTGCAAAGTTGGACAGAATTGTTATGTTTTGCTATACAATACCATCTTTGGGCGTCAACAATACTCACAGTATCATACATATTTGTCTACTAAATAACTATTGAGAATTCTGACAGTTCAATTTTTCCAGCAAATGATATGAAGGGATACCTAATATTTTTCAAGGCACTTCGTTTACTTCTTTTATTCCAACTATCTATTGGAATTGACTTCCATGTAATGTGAATTTCCAATGACTCACACACAGAAAAAATAAAAACTTGCTCATCATGCTGGTTCTACTTTTTTCAGATCTATTTTTTGAATACAGATATATATTGTAATACACAGCTGAATTTGTCATCACTCATCACAGTGGCTACCAAAATCGATGAAAAAAACAAGAGGTTCAGGTGATTATGAAATCTAATAGACAAAACGTCGCTTTGCAAATATATAGAACTTAATCCTGGTAATAGAAAGAGATAAGACTAGAATTAAAGCTGCAGTTATGCAATTCCTCAGAAAACTTGAGATAGTTGCTATAAGAGATAGCATAAGAAAAATTAAACCAATAGACAAGTTTATGCAGGAAAGACATATTGGAATGGTTAGGACACATTTAAAGAATGCTAATAGAAAGACAAACAGTAGAAGTGTTTGAAGCAAAATCTATAGGAGAAACTATATAAGGGGTGTAAACGTAGGAAAATTTGTAACGGTTAATTCTGTGTTTTTTCTGTTTTAAATAGAGTATTTATGTAGTTTTGGTACCTTATAGAAGTAAATAGATCTAGAAATAAATAAAAAATGAAATAGTGTTTTCATTGAATATCAACCCCCTCAGTAGTCTCAAACGGTCTGTTCAAATGCAATGAATTCATGATTTTATGGCAAATTGAAGGGAAAGTGAGTTTCAATGATAAGTAGCTTGCCAATTATACCTTCTACCAGTGGCGTTTGCCATCTAGTAATTACAGCAAGAATCGGTCTATAAAACCGGGTGACTACTGATGCATTTTTCTCTTACTAGATAATTTATGTTAAATTGGAAAGAGTAAATTCTTAGGAGAGATTAGTTTTTGGGAAAGAAATGTTTTGGCCTCCTTCTTCTACAGCTTTATATAAAAAATTTGGGAAACTTCCAAGGGAAGGATGATAGCAATTTCACAATGAACCCTCTGAAAAGATGTGCCAATCATGCATAGAAGTAAATTGGAAAGAGTAAATTCTTAGGAGAGATTAGTTTTTGGGAAAGAAATGTTTTGGCCTCCTTCTTCTACAGCTCTTTATAAAAAATTTGGGAAACTTCCGAAGGAAGAAAGAAAGCAATTATTTTCGAATGAACACTCTTCACAAAGATGTATAAATCATGCAAAGAAGTAACATTCAGACAGCAGTTACTTCCATATAAACAATGAATTACACGAAAGAAAAATACTTTCGAAACAAATACTTCTATATGAACACTGAATTATACAAAAAACACGTCTTTCTATTTAAAGAGATAAAATTTCACTTAAATGGAACACTATCATCCTCAATGGCAGACACTGATGTTTTAGAATAAGATGATCAAAAAACAAACGGAATAGAGATGAAAGTAATTTCTGAAAGAAAATGTGCATTCTGATCACAGAAAAAAATAAAAAAAAATACCCAAAAATTGCTATTTAACAGTCCTGCTTTAGAACTGCATTCACTAGTTTTGTTTATCAAGCACTAATATAGAAAATTTGGTTTGTAATTTTTTTTGACTGAAAGTTTCAAATTTCAAAATGTGAAATAACTCATTTTGATTTTTGTGCATTCAATTATATCTAATAAAAATGAGAATTATCCACAGATATGAGGTAAAAAAAACTATTTAGCAAAAGTATTTTCACTGGGACATCTATATCAATTTTTTTAAGGGGAATTTAAGTTTTTTTGAACTCATTAGATTTGGAAACAAAAAAGGTTTTTCCCAACTATCACTCCCTCTGATAATTTTTCAAATAGATAAGGGCAGATTAAAAAACTTACCAGAATGTGTCCATTTGAAAGATTCTTGAATCCATTTTTGAGTTTGGCGCGATCCTAAAAATTTTTGAAAATTATATCAGCAAGGAGTTTTTCCTATTACTTACTTGAAATCCATCTTCGGAACTGACAAAATACAATGGTTGGTTTTTGAAAAGTCCAGAACCTGTTATTTCAACATAATCTCCTGCTCCCTGATTCAAACTCGTAGACATTCTCGCCCCCTGAATGTCAATATTGACATTCGAAAAACAAATTATTCTTCGAAACCAGTACCCTAACCTAGCTTTTCAAAACGGTGGAAAGCCTGACGACAACCTACACCACCTCCACGCTCTCATTACTATTTAGCAGTTTCCCTACTTTTGATGGTAATCCTTACAACTGCCGCTACCTGCAAAATGAACTGCAATGTTTCACTAATGTATCTGCAACCTCCGTACGCGCATGTGTTCACATCAGTGTTGTCAGATCTACGAATTTTTCAGTGGATGTATTAAGTTGATCGAATATAGTTAATACTGTTGTGATAACGAAATATTACACATGACCTAATAATAATATTCTTCTACAAGTTTGCGTTGAATTAGTGAGAACTGTTATTCAGATGACAACTTGCACTTGGTAAATCGAAAAAGGATAACACACAAAATTGATGACGTATCACTACCATTTGACTTGACAGTTTAATGCTGTTGAATGGTTTTTTTACGGTTTGAATATTTTTTCTTGTTTACCTCAATGTATGCATTATCACCTTGCGACAACTATACATTTCCACCACGAATTGGCAGTGATCATATCTAATTTCCAGAATAATGAAAAATTTAAATTGCCAGATATTGGAGTTCCAAAATGAAATATGAAATATTTACAAAATAATCAATGAAGTTCTGACGAATAGACGATATTGTGTAGAGATTTCATATGGAACACATATGTATTCTTTCTGAATATACTGTTTATGTGTCATTCCTTTCAGTTGTCATGTCAATTTTTCACATTGTTACCTCAACCACAGATTCCTCCCTCAACTAGATACTAAAAATACTGAAAACAACAAACACAATTCTAAAATTAACAATATATACATCAAGCTCATTCGACAACTGACATTAATAATGAAGGTTGCCTTTTTTAATTTTATTTTCTTCAAAAAAATCTCTTTATTTGATGATCCCTGGTTATTTACCTATATAGTAGACAATAGTAGACAATGTTTACTGACTTCTCTGAATTTTCAATTCTAAATATATTGAAAAAATATTAATTGACCTGGCAACGTTGGTTCACATAACTATTATTTATTGGACTATTTGAGTTAAAATATGGGTCAGCAAATTTTCTGATTGGTGTAAATAAATCACCCGATTCAAACTAGCACAGACGTGAGTGCTTCCACCAGTGCACAGATACAATAATCAACACGGAACAGGAACCAAGGATTTTTTGACAAGTTTGAGATTATAATTGTCAAGTTTGGAGTTGATGAACGTGAACATGTAAAATAAGGCGACTTCAGTTATAATAAATAATCAATGATAGTAGATAAATTACTTCGATTGCCACCTCTCGATCAGTAATGTTGGTAAAAACAATCCGTAGGTAGAAACCACGGAATAATTCTATTTCAACAACCGTAGGGTCCTCTGTGTGAAAAATCGTAACTAACAAAAGTAACGATACATTTATTTACCAGGTACCGCCAGGAGTATGTTTTTCGACAGGTCTAAAAATTCAGCTTTTTGATTTTATGCTATGAATAAATTTATGTTTCTTTCTGAGCAATTTTCTCAGCCTTACTTTAGTTCATTAAATTTGTTGAACTAGAATATTTTGAAACTGTATATTCTTATTAGTGATTTTAAAAATTATACACGTCGAAAGGCAGAACCAATTCACATTCAGATACATTGAACTTGGTTTAATAAACCGAAACCCTCTCGTAACAAATGAAAATCTTTGAAAGAATAAAACAAAAGTTATTTTCTTTATCCTATACTTTCTTCAGTTCCTTTCCTACTTCCTGTGTTGCTCTATAAATGAATACTTATTTATTCCAGTGTGCCGTGGCATATACTGATGATCAAGAATTTTGTACTGTTAATTTTTGTTCCGAATTATATTTTTTTGCTTTTTTCAGCTTATTACTGTTATGTTGTTGAGCAATTTCCAGTTCATTTTCTCAATGAATTCAAATTGAATTAAAGCGCTGCTTAAACAGCCCAAAAAGTTAACCTGATAGTTTCAACGGTCCTCAAACCTCGTTATCAATAGAACTCATTTGAACTGGAACGATAGATAGATAATTAATTATTATTCGCTTTCCTTTATCACTAAACTTGAATAGTAATTTAGATTCTAACCAAGTTATGGTAAATATTTATTGAGGAAACCCTTCTTTGAAATTTGAATTGAGTTGTTGAAGATATCAATATTGCATTTAGAACGTTATTTGAAGTAAGTGTACATGCCCTGTAGAACATCTACAACTGTTTGAAGCGGTAATTTCAGTATTAACATTTTCTTGTACGGAACAGCGAGGAGAGGTAACTCAGTAAATAAGGCATTGAACTAGAAAAACGTGTGTTCTTAAATAAGTTTCATTGTTAACTATAATATATAGTTTATTATATAGATATATAAATCGGAAAATTGGTCCACTGATTAACCTCTGTGGGACATATACTTACATGGGCAAATTAGCCCAACCTAACCTCTATGGTACGTGCATTGGAGTCCGTACTTATATGTACATAGATTTACATTTACATTTTTGCATTGAACATTCAGATACAAATTCAATACAATATTTCTGCTTTTTTTTAAAAAATACAGATAAAATTATTTAATATCCTGGGAAGTTTATGAATCTGAATATGTGTTGGTTTTATAAAAACTTATAGGAGAATTTTTGCTTAGTTTTCGTGAATATTTCACTCCCATTTCGTCCACTAATTTCTGTATAACGTTAAGAGAATAATCTATTTGTTCTTTGGTGAGCTCTGCGGAAAGACAGATTCGAATCCTTCCCTGAGAGAAAGGGGTAGCTGGATATCCGACCCCAACTGTGGCTATTTTCTCTTTAAAAAGAGCTCTAAGCATGGCACTGAAACAAAATACATAAAATTAATATTTTGAAGCATTAGCTTGTAGTTCAAAACAAAAATGGTATCATAAATATACAACTTGCAATAAGTTCAATGGTAAATATAGACACCTCAAAACTGAAACAATTTTTAATATTCTAGTGTCAACGTGAGTTGAGAAGCAAGCAACCAATCAATCACCATAATAGTGTTTTTATCATTTGATATTTTATAGTAGAGGCATATTCATAGCATCATTTTTTATGCATTCAAGCTCGGGACTTTTCGATGAAGAGTCGGGCACATTTCATCTTTATTTTATAAACTATAACGATCAAAATGAAGCAGAAACTGAAAATTGACATAGCGTAACGTCAAATTCCCTTTGAAAACCAACCTCACGCTAGTTTTGAAATCATAGTTGATGAGACGTCATCGTTTCAACGACAGAAAACTCATATATGTATATTACGGCTATAATCATTGTTTTCCTTGAGTTTGACGTTTGCCTTATCAAGTCTAGGTGTCGCCCACTCCGTGGTTCTTCCGAATTTCATTTTATATCTGTATCATAGAAATGAAATTATAGTCATCGATTACCTACTGTTATTAGTTTATAATTCAATATCTATGACATAGATAGGAAAAATTAGATATTTAAAATATGTTTTTTCTGATTTTATGCAAATTCAGCCAAAAACATGATCGATTAGTAGATTCAATTGTTGATTTTCAGAGATTAGTTATGAATCCTATTTGTGGAAACTAATAATAATTGATGATATCATAACGTATATTCATAGAAAAGTAATAAAAATTTATCTGAAGAATCATTTGAGGAATTAATAAACAATAGATTATGAAATTTTATTCAATTTTGAAGAATGCTGAAATTATAATATAATAAAATTTCTTAGGTATCTTCTTCCGGCATTACTGAATGCTTTGCCAAATATTGAGAGTCTATTGGTGAATTGTTGATTGGTTTGCATGAATACTTCAGTCCGACTTTCTCTACTACTTTCTGTATAGCTTCAAGAACATAATCTAATTGTTCTTTGGTAAACCCAGAAGAAAGACAAATTCGAATTCTCCCCTTATTAAGGGACGTAAATGGATATCCATTTCCAACTATAGCTACTTTTTCTTTCATGAGAGTTCTCACCATGCAACTGAAAATTCAAAAATACTTCTTAGCAACTAATTGAATCACTATGCCTGGATACTATGATAGCTAAATCTAAATTCATTGGAATAGTAACTGTAAAGTTCATTCATGGTATTGTGACGAATTAACTGTTTTAAACAAATTTATTTTTAACAATATTTCACTATCACAACTAATTTATGTACAACACTTAGCAACTAACGCTTAATTTATCTTCACAGATTTCTTTCTTTAAACGCACGATTCACTTTCTAAGTACAGACTGACTCTAATGGAAAGAAAGCAGGGATTATATACCGCTAACGAGCTTTCTAGATTTATCTAGAAGTCTCGGCACTCGCCTAGTATTTTCCCGGCTAGTCAGACCGCTTCCTTCGCGGTGATGTCATGCGTTTGGTGTCTGAGATAACGGTCAGGGCCGGCTTCAGATTAATTACAGTATCTAGGCTCTATCTATCTATCTATCTATCTATCTAGGCGACCGACTGCTGTTGTATCTAGTTGGTACGGCTCTTCTTCAATTATGGGAGATTATTTGTGTTATGATGTGCCGGTATCCATATAAACCGTAAGGATGTCTTCCTTATGGTTGAAATTGTTCTATGGCCTCTCTGAATAGCCCGGATAGTAACCCATGGTTTTATCAAGAACTTGTGTTCGTTTAAGGCAATGTCATTGCTGCCTTTTGAGAGAGCGTGTTAGTCTAGTTCACATGTACCATTTTCTTCTAAAATTTTTATATAGTCTCTGAAAATTATGACCAAGGTCATATTCGATTCTCATTGTCACGTAGTGACAATGAGACAAAAAGTTCGAAAAGGCGCTAAAAAAATTACAAAAGTTGTAAACAAATTAGTGAAAAAAATTGAGGTTTGTTTTTTTGATCATCTCGAAAAATATTGAATTGAATTTAAAAAAAAATATCCAAAAAACATCAAATTTGCTAAAAGAAAGATAAGAAAGTTATCCGACCCCCGGAGCTGTAACTCTATTATTTATAATTTTTTCAGAGCCCTGAAACTAGAGCCAAAAACGGGTAGTCTTAAACTTTCTACATGACAATACGAATCGAATGACACCTTGATCGAAATTTTCGGAGACTAAATAAAAATTTTCATATTTTCAAGAAAATATGGTACTTGTGAACTAGAATGTCCTGCCACCGCCGATTTATCCGCGTTTGAACGCTCTTTTTCGTGGTTCCGATGTAGAACGAACCACAACTTCATGGTATTCGGTATACTTCCGGGGTACTTATTCGATCTCTAGGATCATTTGCTGATTTGAGACTATTATCTATCATTCTTGTGTCGTCCGACACCTATTCCCATTGTAAGTACAAACGCACTAAGGCCATTCTCCGCAAAGGATACAATAACGGATCGATATTCCTTAACGTACCTAATGCAGAGCAGGACAGTAACTCTCCACCAAGCGACTTCTGGAAGTAGGATTCCCACAAGGCGTAGTTTTATCGTCACACCTCTTCTCGACGTATAAGGCAGACGTGCCTGAGGCAGAGGACAACTTCAACAAGTTGGCACACTTCGCGGACGATACAGCCCTACTGGCGGGATCCACCAAGCAAGCGTTAGTTAAGGATACCTGCACCAACAAGCCGACATATTAGAGGAGTGAGCCAACCTCTGGAAGATTAGTATCAACCCTGATGAGAGTCAGGCGATACTATTCACCTGGAGAAAGTAAGGCCGGACAGGAGATTCCGTGAAAAAACGAAGCTAGATACCTGTGAGTCACCCTCGACAAGTCTCCTATCCAAAAGGGTAGGGCTGGCGAAAGCCGCTCGACAAAACTCTACCCCATCAAAAGACCCAGGAGTAACATGGATCTCCAAGTGGAAGTGCTCCTAATCAAGATCATCCTACTTCCCATCATCCTGTATGCCTCTACTGCTTGGGGCTAGTGCGTAGCAACATACAGACGCCAAATTCAAATGTTTATGAACACCTGCTTGCGGGCGGCCTTAAACGCTCCTAAATATATACTCAACCGATTCATTTGCCGGAACCTGAATCTTAGCACCCAGTACGTGGATGCATTCATGAGAAACCACGCTGAAAACGTTTTCGAGCGTATTCGTACACAACCCAACGATGCACTAAACAGGGATGACTCCTGTTTCCGCGAGAGGGACAAGCATATAAGGCCGACAAAGCAGAACCAGAGACCATCTCCGAGAGTCGCCTTCCTGCTGCTTTGGTAACAATTAAAAATGTATTACAATTTCACAGACATACACACACACACATACGCACGCACACACATTCCGGTACTATACTAAAACCAATAATGATTGAGAGTAGAAGTAAGCCCAGTTGACAGCAAATCGGGGGCGTGCTTATTAATTTTTGAGAGGGTTAAGAATGGAAGAAAAATT